CCATCCCCCTCCCCCCTAACCCCCACCTATTTCTATACAATCTCTTGCATTTGAGTATAATGCGGCATAGCCCATAAGACTGGGTACGAAAATGCGCTAGGATTTCTGACTGTCTCTTGCATAAATCATTAAAAGTGGTTCCGCACTGCAGTCCCACGGCTTAAAGTAAGAATTTACGTACCCTTTCTCTTTTTCTCCTTTTTCTTTTTTCTTTTTATTGTTTGTCCCTTTTTCTTCTTCTTCTTCTTCTTCTTCTTCTTTTTAACGTGTTTCATTTAGCGCAAAAAAAGAGACTAATTTATTGTAAGAGTTTGTTCGTACTTACGTTACGTACGGATTCATTATAAAATTTAAAATGAAATAAGAAAAAAACAAAAGGAAAAAAAGTGAAAATGTAAATGTGCTTTAAAGGATTTAACTTATTAAAGAATCATTAACAGTATTTTAAGTATTCTATGATTGAAAAAAAAATAAAAGAAATAGAAAAGAAAATAGAATTATAATAGGTAATAATATATTGAAAGAAAATTTAATCACAATTTATTATATTTGATTCGAATTATAGAAGGATAGGAGGTGATACCATTTGTACATTTAAATAAACGATCCTGTATTGTGACAAATTTAATTGGTATACAACGGTTTACAAGGGATTTTTATTTATTTATTTATTTAATTATTCTCTCTTATATTTTTCTTTTTTTCCTTCCTCTTTCGCGTTTTTAATTCTTTTTCTTTCATCGCGCATTACGCCACGAATTTGTCTTTTTTTTTTTTTATTTTTTTTTTATTTATTTACGCACACGGGAGACGACGGATGATATTCGAATCGAAGAACAATCGTGAAATTCGAAACTCAATTACGCAAGTTGAATGGACAAACTGCTGGAAGACGGTGAGTTTTTTTTTTTTGTTTTCAAGTTATTTTTTTCCCCATTTCTCTTTTCCTTCCTCTTTATATCCCCCCTTTTTATTTTTTTTTGTCTCTTGCTCTTTAGATTTGTAATTTGTTATAGAATAAAATTTTATTATTTCATGTCTCGTCAAATCTTTGATTCGTCACGTCCATCCTCCCTTACAACGATATCAACATTGTTTTATTTTATTTTATTTTTATTTTTAGTATTTTTTTTCCTTTCCCTCTTCATCCTTCTCGTTTCATTTTTAAATACGTATTTCCATTCCGAAGGTATATTCCCCTATATCGATGTGATTTCTCTTTCTTTT